GAAATTTGATGCACAAAGTAGAGCGAAAAATTTCATGAGTATGTTTCACAAATGAAATCTACCCTGATATCAAAAATTGCATAACTGTATTATGCTTTTTAAATAAGAGCTGTAATCAACACCGGATCTTGGATTTTCTGAGGTTGGACTTCAGAAATTTCTTATGTGCCAATTTTTTTATAAAAGAGAAGATACATACCAAAATTTATATAATCAGAAACCCACTCGTTTCCTCTTAGGGGAGTTGTCGCACTGATGAGTTTCCCTTCTGATTCAGGCAAGAATGCATCCAGTCCTCGCGAACATTGGGTTTTCCATTGGTTCCGGGGGGGAAGACTGTCAGCCCCTAACCCCCTCTTACTACTCGGTATTCATTGCATTTATGTTAACTTAAGTTAGATTATTTGAATATGGCAGACGAACGAGGGCTTCTGAGTAAGAGCGGCAGATGCCTTCATGCAGGACTTTCTAAGGGAAACTGGTACTCACTCACGTTACACATGCGGGAAACCACGAAACCCAACCATGCAGCCAGTCCACGCGCTTTTTTATGAATTCAAGCACTGTCTCGAACTACCAGTATTCAGCGGTCTTAATCACTCGGCCACTGCTGAGACATTGCATACCGACAGACTTTTCATCATGTCTTATTGCTAACAAAAATTGTCAAAATTTATGTAAAAGATTAATACAAAACTGCTTATTAACATATGAGCATCACATACGAACGTAATATGGTTGCAAAACTAAGCTTTTGATAAAAGCTAAAGTTTGCTGACTTCCGAATAACCAAAGCGCGCTTTCAAAGAGAATAAATTGCAGAATAGAAAGTAAATACGTTTGATTTAAACTTTGCTCCCCCCACCTGATTAAGAGCTCTCAAAGCAATCACTTCTAACAGAAACTTATACCTGAAAAGTAAATTACAACAAGTAAACAAACGCAGAGTGACACCTAAGGTCTACGCTGCTAGGCGCACTCTGAGAAACATAACAAGTAGGAGCTTACTGATGCATTTAACTAATATGCATTCTGACGAAACCTGACGAAAATAGAAGTTACTTGAAACCAAAGTAATACGATAACTGTGTTAATTGAAGAAAACTTTATAAATTAATTCGAATACCATGGTTAAATTAGAATTATGAAAAGGTCGTTATTGGCTCTGGATAATTTGTTTGGGAAGAGCCTTTACAGAGAAAATAAATGTTTTAATGTAAGCTGGAAGCGAGTTTCTGTAAAATATTCATCTCATTTTATGTATTCTATGCATTAATACAATACCCTTTGATGAGATTTTTATGAATTTCAGACGAATAATATTTTTAATTGCAGAATATGTTGTAAACGTTCCTTCCCAGTGTCCAATTATTCTAACTTTCTGACCAATGCAATGTTTTTCAATACCCACATTTTCACAAGTTCTTTATCTTTTTTCTTGAAAAGATACAAACTTCAGCTTTTGTCACTCAGTGTTACAGATGAAGCTTAAGAGAAATTGGTTTGCTCTCTAAGGACCAACTGGCTATATTGGCGTTTGCCGCTCATGCTACAGATGAAGGTTAAGCTAAGTTTAGAGAAAGGTTAAGCTGATGTTAGGCTTGATAAGGGAAGGTTATTGGAATAGGCAAAACCCACAAGTGCTATCTACATAAAGGTGCATTTGTGGAGCACAAGTTAAGGTTAAATGACTTCATTAACATATGGGAAAATAATTAAAAAACATCCGTTTGCTTGAGACGGAATCTGTGTCGAACTTCGTATATTCAGCGGTTTTTAACCATTTGGCCACTGGTAATGCTTGCTGCAAATGAAGGAGTGACTACGATTTTGGAAATGCATTACTGAAAATGTTTAGAACTATGACATATCTATGATTAAAAATAAGCTCAGATGCGATTATAATGTACAGTATGCTTTACGTAAAACAAAATAAAGACTTCGAGTTTTGTTTCTTTGATATCGAAATCTAAGTCAAAGCCAACAATTAGAAAATAAGGCAGCCTTTTCTTACGTTCGATATGTCTACAGCTCGGTTCTTTCCGCTTTAATATTATGTTAGTGGATGCACCATATCTTAATTTAATGTGTTTTCCTTATTGCATTAATCAACCAGCCGAATTAGTAAATTTTTTGCTGTCTGTGCCATTCCCAAGCTACGCAGTGTATGATCTATGAAACCTTTGAATGACCTTTGAAATCGAAACAATATATTGCTTAACTGCGCAACAAAGCTTGCTATCTAAGACTATGAACACGCTTCTTAATAAAAATAATTATAATGATCTTTATTCAATAATGTAATTTAGAAAAGTAGTTCTAATATCATACATTATATACTAAATTTTTTACTTTATTTATATACTTAGAGAAAATTTTTAATTCAGTCGGTAGGGGTAGAATACGCATAGTTAAATTTCTAAATTAATTTGGCCATAGCAAAATAATTTGTAACTGTATTATGTATATAAAATATAATACATTTATCAAAATGTATATTATACTGAAATTTCAAAAATTTGCAACATCAGTTTGAGGAATATCTTAACCAGAGGAAGTAGCAGTTTTAAAAAATCATAGTGCACATAGTTTAAGAAAAGCGTAGTTAATCCGTTATAAGAAAACAAGTTAAACTAATAATAAATAACAAATCAATAATAAAGAAAATAGAGGCTTAATATAAAAACAATAATATAAAAATTTTAACCGAGGAAATACTAGTTTTTCTGTACCATGAAATGCAACAAAATGTATATTTTACAGAAAAGAGAAATTCAAATAACATGGTTGTACATTAAGGAAATGTGATTTAAAATACTGACTTAAGTAAACATTAAAACTATTAAAATATAAATATATTTGTTAGCATAAGTATTTCGTATTTTAATACATTATTTACCGTGCAACAAAGCTTATGTCTCTCTTTTCATTTTTTTAAAGTTAATATGGCGCCGTGTTTTCTCCAGACGTAAAAATCTAAACAGAAGACACGCATTAATGCGTTTCGCTCATATCCTCCGAGCACTTAATATTTGCATTCGTCAAAAATTTTTGTGAAAGGTTCTGGTGAAGAAAACAACGACTTATTCGCGAATTCCATTTTGATGCAAACAACTTAATTCAGAATTTTTCTCATGCATATAAGATTCCGCATATTTTCCTGGTACCCAAATCAATTTCTAGTCACGCAATTTTCGCATAATACTTGAAAAAGGAGAGAAAAATGAAATAAAAATCCTTCCATGTCTCCGAGTGCATGGAAAACAAAATTGCCGCGAGCGACATCTATTGAATGTTTCAAGAAAGAGCCACATGAAGGAGGCCATTTTCCCCTACATACTTTGGCTCCTCTTTGCTGTTTTTTTTAACCATCGCCTTGCGGTGAATAGAGATTAATCGAAAATCTATTCGGGATATCAGTATTCTTGTCTAGATGGAACCTTCCAGTGTTTCCTCCAACTTTTTTTATGGATTTAATATCGATTTTAGTGGCATCTATGACGTAAATGAATAGAGAATTAGAACGCCTTTTAGGACGAAAAAAAATTCTGATATTTCAGTGTTGTTGAGGCTATTAGAGATACACACCAGCGAAGTTAGAAAAGGGTGATGTATCTTAGATCTAATAAATCCCATTATAGAAAGCGGATTTGAGCATTGCTACCGTGGTTGAGAGATTTATTGCTGAAACTTAATACATTGGACATTCTTTGTTAAGTCTTTATATTTATTTCAGGTCCTCAAAAGCGTTTTTTTTTTATGAACACGCCATTAAAGAAAATGTGCGATTACATTATGACACATTGGAAAAGTTGTTAGTATAAAGATAAATTGGAAAATGAGGTTTTTTAAGTTATATTAATCTAAAATTTCAATTTATTAAACGGAGACGCTTTACTTTCATTGTAAAAGTTACTATAACTCACATTGCTCTTCCCGTATTGCTTACAGATGTTGTATCAATGTATACCGAGAAAAATACTATAATTCAATTAATATGATTCGTAAAATCATTATTCAATAAACAAGCGTCACAATCTTCCTTATGTGTTTTTGCGATATAACTGGTTAACACATTCACCTAGCTATCGGCGTTCTATGATTTGAATCCTGGCAAAGGCACATAATTGAAATTTCACATTTCTGACTCTTGAACGTCTAATGGTCTTTATAGTGGCGTTCAAACTAAAAATATCGTCTGTCCTTTGTATCTCTTTCTAGTCGCCCTTCAACCGTTTTTAGGTATCGCGCCTTTGTTTAAGACTTTCGCTCGAGTCAAACAGGAGTCAAAAGGGATTGATATGTTACATTCGACCAAGGGATTCATAAATCATCTACCCGATGAATTAACAGCTATCTTATCATAAATGGAGTACTTCATTTAAACTTAAGCAAAAAAAGGTTTATTTACACATAAAGACAAGTTAATGAATAAGAAATATTTATCTAGCTACAATATCTATCTAACCGCATCATGCAAACATCGTCCTTAGCTAACTAAACCGGAACTGTTCGTTTTTCTCTGGCGTCCCATGACGTCAGTCTCTATCTGGCTTTTGATTCGCTGGCGTAGTGATGCCATTCCCAACATCCTCCCCCCTTTGAGTTGCTGGATAGCTACTCAAAACATTCAAGTCTATCAAGTTCAGTCTAAGTGGCATCTTAACAGTTCTACCAGCTCGTGTCTTTATAGTCTTAGAACTGTCACATACATCGGAAACATCAGTGGGGTCCGGAGATCGGGGTGACCCAGAAATTTCTGAATGATGAGAGGTACTCATGTCGTCTCCACGATGAGAAATCTGAAGACTTTACAGCAGATTGATGTTTTTGAGGATCACTTGGATGACATGAACCTGACAAATCATCATCTTGGATTTCTAGGGGAAACACTCGTTGTATCGGACGTACTAAATTGTTAGTTTGCGTTCTTAATCTAACTGTTCTCACTTTACCGTCCTTTCCTGGAATCAGTTCCGTAACCCTGGCTAAAGGCCAATTCAATCTCTTTTGATATCATCTCCTATCAACACAACGTCATTCACTCGAATATTTGGAAATTGTGAATTTTGCTGTCGTTTCTGAATAAGTAGTCCTAAATATTCCTTTCGAAAACGTACTCGGAGATCTTCCATTAATTTTGCACGAAATCTGATTCTTTTCCTGAGATGATTGGTGTCTACTGTGTCTATATCAGTTACATCTAAATTGGATCTATCGGTCAAAAACATGGCAGGTGTAAGTGGAACTAAGTCTTCTGTATCTTCGGACAAATATGTCAAGGGTCGCGAATTTACTACCCTTTCACATTCGCACATAACTGTTTCCAGTTCTTCATAGGTAAGAACAGCTCTGCCCAATGTTCTCCTAAGGAGTTCTTTGACTACTCGAACAAGTCTTTCCCACCATCCGCCCCACCAGGCAGCAGTGGGGGGAATGAATTTCCATTCGATCTTCTGTATTTCTGTTTGTCGAGTTACTTTACTCCAATCAATTTCTAACAAATTATTATAAGCTCCCCTAAAGTTTGTACCGTTGTCTGTATAAACCACTCTAGGTCTTCCTCTTCTAGCAACAAAACGTCTAAATGATAACAGAAAAGCATCAGTGGAAAGCGATGTTATTAACTCTAAATGAATTGCTCTATAAAGAGCACACGTGTAGAGAACCATCCATACTTTGTCCCCACGTTTTACAAATAGGGGACCAGCCAAGTCAATACCAACTACTTCGAAAGCTGCTGCATTTTCCACTCTATCAGCAGGTAAGGAAACTGGTTCAGTGATGAGAGATTTAGTTTTGTATCGTCGACATTTAATACAGTCCTTCAGAACACTACGTATCGCTCTTCTTCCTCTTGTAATCCAGTACTTTTCACGCAATATGCTTAGTAATATCTGGGTTCCAGCATGACAGTTTTCTCGGTGAAAATATTCAATCAGTCTTTGAGTAAAGATACATTTATCAGGAAGAAGAATAGGTGAAATGAAGAAAGGCTTATCTATGCGTTCAGTAATTCGAGTTTTAACTCTGATAATTCCGTTCACGTCTTTGAAAACACACAAGTTCCGAAGTTCCGAATAGAGGTTTCACTAGGAAAAAAATGAGCTTGCACATTACGAATAAGCAGAATTTCAGCATTTTCAATCTCCTGCGTTAGAAGTTCTCCCCCCCCGTCTAGTATCATGACGCGATCTTACATTACTGATAAATCTCAATATCCATGCAACCATTCTAACTATTGAATGGAAATTTGAGAATTTAATGGCATACCACGGGACTTTCTCTTCCGACAAATTAATATTACATAACCTAACCTTTCTCCTTTCAAATGTTATTTCGGGTGTTTCTGTTGTCAATATCTCGGTATCAGGCCAGTTGTCTCTTGTTTGCAACAACCATGCCGGGCCTTTCCACCAGCAGGATTCTAACAATTTCTTAGGAGAACACCCTCGCGAGATCAGATCAGCGGGATTCATTTTCCCTGGCACATGTCGCCATTCATTATTAGGAAACAGATTATTTATTTCTTTTACTCTGTTCGAGACAAAAACTGTCCAATCACCATGTTCTTTTAACCAGTATAAAGCTACCCTAGAGTCGCTCCAAAATATTGTTTTAATCTCATGGGCGTTTAATGCCTGCTTCACTGAATATGCCAACCTGGCACCAATGCAACAAGCCATTAACTCTAACCTAGGGATCGTTACTTTCTTCAAAGGTGCAACTCTGGTTTTTGCTCTAACAAAGTAAATTTTTACCCCTTGAGAGGTTCTCGTTCTAAAAAAAATACAGGTGGCATATGCCTCTTTGCACGCATCTACGAAAACATGCATCTCAGTGGAATCATTTATTTCAACATAACGTGAGATTTCGATATCTCTTAATGCGTCTATTTCTCTAAACCATCTTTTAAAAGACATTTGAATATTATCTGGTAAGGGAGTATCCCACTTTAGATTTAAATTCCACGTTTCCTGCAATAAAAGCTTAGGTGGTAAGATTGCAGGACTCAACAGACCTATTGGATCAAATATTTTCTGAACTGTAGCTAAAATGATTCTGATCTTCACTTACAAGATTAAAGTTTAAATTACACTTAAGAGTGTCCTTATCAAGATCCACAAAATTCCAATACTTTCGTGACACCACACCACTATTAGAACATAACATTTTATACTATTAGAAACTTAGAACATACATTTACATTTTACATTACTCTCCCAGTTTCTTAAGTTAAAGCAACCCCGTGACAAAATATCTTTGCATTTACAATAAAATTTCTCCTCCTGCTCAATATTTGCAAAGCCAGAAAACACAATTGTCTACGTAAAAAGAATGTTTCAGTTTTGTGCTATAGAAGCATCAAATTCAGATGGTACATTATCTAATAAATGTGTAATTGAGGCTGCTAATAAAAATGGACTCGACTTTAACCCAAATACTACTCTGCGATGTCGGTAAACAATCTGTTCACTCTCGGAACGGATATAAAAAACCGCAAGATTTTTAATCTCTATGTTGAAAGGGGCTATACTTAGCATCAGAAATGCTTTCTCAATATCTGAAGATAATCCTATTGGATGAATTCGAAACGTATCAAGTATGTCTGGAGTTATTTCTAGTAAGTTCGGACCCTTATACAAAAGGTCGTTAAAAGAGCATTTACCACTTCCTCGGGCTGACGCGTCAAAGACAGGTCTGATTTTTGTAGTAGTACTGTCCTTAATTACTGGCCGATGAGGTAAAAAATTTTCCGTCTCACTATTATCAGTTACCTTTTCAATTATATTCAATTTTTCCCATTCCCGGAAAATCGTAGTATATTAAAATCTAAAAATGCTTTATCTTGTGCTTTATCTTTATCTTCTAAAAATGCTTTATCTTGTGCTCGCTGGCACATCCTTTTATGCCGCTTCCAAGGTTAAATCTTTATTTGTCGGCAAATCGGCCACATCAAATTTAAAAGGTAGACAAAGTTCATATCTACCGTCCGAAAGAATTTTCACATTATTTTTAAACTCTTCCAAAATTCTAGAATGTTCTAAATTCTTTCTATTATTTTCAATGGGATCTAAAATACCTATGGATTCTAAGACCAAATCTTTATCGAATAATTACTAACATACAACGAAATTGCATTCAAGACAGTATCATCATTGCTATGTCCAAATGACTCATGCTTTCCAGTTAACACATGTCCCAAACAAGTGTCAATCAAAAATAACCCTGACTCCAAACGAACAGATTTATTAGTAAATAAAGCGCCCACAATATCCGCTCCCAAAAGCAGATCAATCTCACGGTCAGAAGAACCCAAATCAGACAAACTGACGCCTCTATCTTTCACTTCATTAATAATTTTACTATCACTCACTTTTGGCACTATGCCACAAATTTTGCTCTCTAAAAGTGCTTCGATTTGAAAGGAGAAAGTTTCATCTAATGCCGAAATCAACAAATTATAAACATCGTGAATCTGCGTTCGCGTTCCTCTTCCACCGAATAACGAATGCTTCAATTTAATTTGCCTTAATGGTTTTTAAATTTAAATTCTCTACTAATTTTTGACTGACATACGAATGCTGAGAACCTGTATCCAGTAACGTGCGTACTTTAAGTCAACATTCTTAAATTTAATTTTAACTATTAGAGTTAAATAAACATTTTCTATTTTACAGTTATTAGTTAATGTACTGGTTTCAATTACGTCCCTTTTAGACTTTTCATTTGCGCTTTTATCTTGGCGATTGGGACACATTAATGAATGGTGATTTTATTACAGTTACATGCAAGAATTTTTTTACTCGACGTTTTTTAAAAGTGTGCCCCAATCTGAAACATCCAAAACAGGCCCCCCTTTTTTAATTATATTTTTCTTAGCTTCTAATGTCATATTTCTAGCAGAAAAACATCTTTAGTTGGTGCCGTTTTTCACAAAAGAGACTGTTAAAATTCGCTTACCTGGGCTCTCAGAATTTGATGTACTTAACGCAGCTTCGGTGGCGGAATCTAGATTTTTATTTAGTGTATCCTTTTCTTAAATATGATTAGAACCAAACCCAGTGCATGCTAACACGACCTCTTCTCCTTTTACTTTTTGTTTCAGAAAATTCATCAAATTTTCAAGGCATGAATCATCAGGCTGAGGTGCTTCTTTTAAATTTCTGTTTCTCTCCCAAGCAATTAATACTTCTTTGGGCAGACGGGATTCAACTAAAGGCGTTAAGAAATCCCCATACACCTCTTGCGTTCTTCCAAGACTTTCTAAAGCTCTAATCTTGGTTTCTAAATCATCGTAGAGAGTGGAAAGATACGTCTTCACATGTCCACTACTTGCATTACGCATAACCATGCTTAGAAGATCTCTGACGTATATCTTTACAAGTAAGTCTTCTCTTCCAAACCTCTCTCGAAGCTGGGCGATTGCTTTCGAATAATTCGACGCTGTTGCGGGAAAGCGCTCCACTATCCGTGCGGCTTTGGACTGAGGAAAAACTGCTTGCAGGAGGAACTGGAATTTATCTTCATCTGGAATCGTCAGATCTTCATGGATACTGGCTCCAAAACGAGAACTGGCTCCAAAACGTCAAAAATTCTTTTGCTTCGCTGTTGAATTTCTTTAGTTCGATCTTCGGCAGTTTAAATTTGCTCTTCTCTGGTAATTCAGTAGGTAAAGGATCCTTCAACAGCTTTTCCATTTGAGAACACAGTTCAAAATTTTTATATCTATAAGGCTCAGACGAAATAAAATCTTCTTCATATAGCTTTTGAGCTTTTTAGATTGTAAAATTAGCGACGTTTACGTCCTTTGGCAAATTTCAAGACGATTAAACTTGTCTAAAAGTTGTTCCAGAACCGAAAATAGCTTCAAATCAGGAACATCTGATTTCAGTTCTCCATCAATTTTGTTTGCACATGTAGTAAAGGAAGTTCTTAGATATTTTCGTTCAGTTTTCAACTGTGAAAGCTCCATTTTCAATTTATTTTAGCTATTATCGCGCCCCACGTCTCGGCGCCACAAATGATATGTTACGTAAGGCGTTACGTTCGAACAATGGCTAGCTCAGAAGGGATTCATAAGTCATCTACCCGATGAATTAACAGCTATCTTATCATAAATGGAGCACATCATTTAAACTTAAGCAAAATAAAGGTTTATTTACACATAAAGACAAGTTAATGAATAAGAAATATTTATCTAGCTACAATATCTATCTAACCGCATTATGCAAACATCGTCCTTAGATAACTAAACCGCAACTATTCGTTTTTCACTGGCGTCCCATGACGTCAGTCTCTATCTGCCTTTTGATTCGCTGGCGTAGTGATGCCATTCCCAACAGGAATCGTCCCACAGGACGGGAGTTTTATGTAGCTAAGCCAAACTTTAGAAGAAAAAAAAACACACACAAAATAAACGTAAGTCCTAACGTCCTAAGTTTTGGTACCGTTTTAGATTATTACTTAAGTTGTTATATACTTCAAAATTAACATTTAATAATCTTTTTCCCTTGCTTTACATGAAAATATATAAAAAATCGCTTTTTTGAGAAATAATTTTCGGAATCTCTATTCAAATTATTCCGAAATTTTAATTTTCAATTTTTCAAAATACATTAATAAAATACATTAATAAATTTTAAAATTAAAAATTAAAAAAAAATCTGTTTAAAAGAAGGAATAACGCAATCTTTCAAGAAAAGTGGGAGGAAGGCACTCAGTGATCTAAGTCAGTGGCAAAATGCCCGTACCAGAATCACTAGGAATATCACTCGCTAACTCTTCAGAAAATGAGCCATCTCTCTGATCGATGTCACTAATAGATTCATTTACCATGCGAATATATCCTTCCTTTTATAAATAACGTTTTCTCGGCATAATAACTGGAGTCAAGCTTTTCCGAAATAAAAAGGGAAGTACGTAATACATGGCCGAAAACAACGAAAAGCGTTACAGAACCCCACAATAGTAAAACTCTAAAAGGCCCTATATTGTAGCGAAAAAAAGAATAAAAGAAATTCCGGAGGGGTTTCAGAAACGCAAATGTTTATATCACGAGGTGAGTTAAAAAGCTGAGATCCGTTTGTTTACATTACTCTTTCCCTCGCCCCCCCCCGCATCAGCTCACACCAAAGTCAGGCGTAATGTGTTCAGACGAAAATAAGGATCCTAAAATTATGCTCAGATTAAAAGTAACGAAAACAAAATGCCATTTAGTGGTCATTAAAAAGGTTTCAGCTTAAAAGCCACACATGCATCACCCGTCTCCTAAGCTTATTATCCTGCGATGTGTGGGTAGGAAACGCGGCTGTGAGGAATATTCATAGACTCTGACTTGCTGAATTTAATGTCATGCAATGTACCGAAAGAATAAAAGAAATGTACCGAAAGAGGGTAAATTAATATGAAGCAAAGCTTTTTCCAACAGATGACGAGAAAAATATAATAGATTTATGTAATTTGATACTTTAGAATGTTTCTACTAACGAACAATTATAATTTACTATATTAATTTACTTAGACCATTTAGTTTGCTTAAATATTACTAAAATATCAGAAACTCCCTAAAAGCTTTGATTTCCCAAATTTTTATGACCTCGGTTAAAAGCATCTTGGATCCCTTGTAAGGATTATGTTCATTTTACTAACAGTTAAATTTTGAATTAAAATTCCTTTCCTATCGCTTCTTAATTTCAACTTACACTTCCGGACAGAACGTATTTTTAGAATCACGTGTGAACGCAAATTTAAGGAGTACTATTTAACCGCTAAGTTCTACTGTCTTAGTCAGAGAGAATCAGTGATTCTAACTAGCACGCGTCACCTTTTTAGGTGACGAAACATGAAAATTTCTATTTTAAGAAACTTTTTAAGTTTCGTACAAGTTTGAAGTATCGTACAACGTCTTACATAATTTTAATAAATTAAAGTATTATATTCAAAACAGTAAAATTTATTTATGGATTTTTTTAAACATATATATATATATATGTATATAAATCTTTATATGCATGGAAGCATGGAAACATCACGATATACTCGTCGAATAACTTTATATATACAGGCTACATACAAAACTGTAGGTCAGTGAAGAATTCCTAAGACTTGTAAAAAAGGGATTAAGTTAATAAAAAAATGTTCAACTACATTACTTGCTACTAAGGTAAAATTTTCAATGTTTATCCGAAACGGCAAGTGATTTGAAAAAACGTAAATATTGAAATAATGTTTATATCGCGCCGCAAATAAAGAATCATGAAGCAGGTGTAAAGGCGATAAAAATAATATGGGTACACCTTTAATCTTTACTGTGTACTTTTAAGTTACAGTTGAATTTGAATAATCTTAAGAACTTAGTAAGCGAATAATCGCTTGAGCTGGTGAGACAGTGAATAAGACTTGAAAAGGGTTAAAGACCCTTTATTATTCCAAAATAAAGTTTAACAGAATTCCATCTTGAAATTTTACACTAAAGTCGACACTCGGGCTTGAACTCAAAAACTAAGAAATTAACTTAACTAATCTTAACTGAAAAGATATAGCCGAAGTATCAAACTTCTAAAGGAGTTATCCCCTTAACGCTAATTCACTACGAAGCTATCAAAGGCCTAGAGTATGGCCGAGCGTAATAATAGCTTAAGAGAAAGTAGCCTAAAAAGGTGACGCGTGCTAGTTAGAATCACTGATTCTCTCTGACTAAGACAGTAGAACTTAGCGGTTAAATAGTACTCCTTAAATTTGCGTTCACACGTGATTCTAAAAATACGTTCTGTCCGGAAGGTGTAAGTTGAAATTAAGAAGCGATAGGAAAGGAATTTTAATTCAAAATTTAACTGTTAGTAAAATGAACATAATCCTTACAAGGGATCCAAGATGCTTTTAACCGAGGTCATAAAAATTTGGGAAATCAAAGCTTTTAGGGAGTTTCTGATATTTTAGTAATATTTAAGCAAACTAAATGGTCTAAGTAAATTAATATAGTAAATTATAATTGTTCGTTAGTAGAAACATTCTAAAGTATCAAATTACATAAATCTATTATATTTTTCTCGTCATCTGTTGGAAAAAGCTTTGCTTCATATTAATTTACCCTCTTTCAGATGGAAACGTAATTCTTGTAATTGAGCTGTCTAATTCATAGGAATCTTATGTAACTTTTTGAATACATCAACGTGTTTAAATATTCTGTATTATTACTCAAACATAAACTTTGTAAAAACAAGCTCACTCTTTCAGATGATGATACAATTTATGGTTTTAATCGTGTTGTGGAAGCAATCGCACACTTCCTGTTTAATAACATTATTTCAGTTGATAAAATAAAATTTGATGGTAGGTAATAATTACTGTTGGCTTAATTTTGTTGCGCCTTATTTCCGATGTTTTGTTCTTTGTTCTGTATCTTTTCCTTATGTATTTAAATAAACCTTATAAACGGAGAATTTCCTATTTATTTTTCGACAAATATCATTTTGGAAAATTTTATACTTTGCCTGAAAACGGAATATAAACAGTGTGAGGTTGCATGTCATTTTCTTTTTTCCTCTCATTTATTAATACGAATTTCTGAGTAAATTAGAAATAATAAATTTTTTAACCAGCCAATATCTTCCAGTTATGGACACTGCTTAACTTTTGCTATGAGAAATGTGGTATAAACATAAATTTCAACAGATAAACTTAAAAATTTTACTTTTTTAGTCTGTTCACAATTTAGTAACATTCTGTCATTTGATATATCTTCATCCTTTAAGTCTTTAAGGGAATTCTTGAACTGGCGATGATTTAGGCACTTAATATAAAACAATTATACATGACGACAATTATGGTGAGGAATTGTGCATTTAATTTAAAACTGTTATGCAATTATGTTGATGCATGCATTTAATAAACATTTGAATTGACTTAAAATAATAAACTATGCGATAACACTTAAATATTTTACTTTTTACGCAGATGATATGGATTAATAGATGTAAATTTTACATCACTGGCATTTAAGCTTTCGTAATTGTTTCTGAAAAATCATAAAGAACATAAATGACATATAATGAAGATGTTACGCATCTAATTCTAATCTGGAAATTCAAGATCTAAAGTAAACTATGCATATCGATAGTATATATATATATATATATATATATATATAATCTGTCTTCACATATAACAACGTAACTTCAATAATATGCAAATATATTATTAGCCATGAGCATGTAACATAAGTTATAGAGTTATAGATATGTTTAGCTTTTCATCTGATGACTGCAAATTATTAAACTCTTAATCTCTTTTGAATGGTGTTCAATAAAGTCTTGTCCTAAAAACAGAATTATTGTATGTGTAATGTACCAA